AAAAAAAAAAAAAAAAGAAAGAAACGAGAGGAGAGAAACAGAACGAGAAGGAAGAAAACGAACGATCAACGGGATTGGTGGGGAAACGGTGCTCAAGGAAACGGCCTCGTTATTTCTAGGTAAGCGTGAGGCCGAATTAATTAAAAAACGGAACCACCCTTGAGGCGGCCGGTTGAAGGAGCTGCTTAATTGTATCCTGTGGATCGAATTTTCCAGCATTCATTTTCAAACGGCAGAGGGAAACAAGCGTCTCCCGTTTTGCCTACGGAACGGATGTGATAATGGCCGTTCACACAGGGTGTATTAATTCGCACGTTCGTTAGGAGTCACGCGATCCGGCACGCTAGAAAAGAGCGTATCGGCTAAATTAATTTCAACCATCTCTCGCCATCTTCCTAGCACGCGTCCCTGCCTTTGACGTTCAATTAAATTACCATCCTCTTTGCTCCCCCTTCCCCCCCCCCTCCTCTTTCTATACAGAGTGTGATTATTGGCTCCCCGTCTCTATGTGGATCGGGGAGAGAGCTGCTTTGTCTGGATAATTTTGCGAGAAATCATTAGAAAAAGAACTATTTGCATAACCGTACGTGTAAATCCAGGTGTACTCTTCGTCTTTTGTCGACAGTGGAATAAATGTTCGCGAAGATGCTGTTGTTTTAGCTTCTTCTCTCTCTCTCTTTTTTTTTTATAAAAATTTGATCGCCAGGATGATGATTAATTCTAGAATTTCTTGTTTTTATGTGAATTCTTCGACGTATACTTCGTTTATTTTTTATTCATTTATCAGATATGATAAAACGAAAACTTTTGAACAAGTCACATTCGAAATAACAAGGATTTGAGAATCTTTTGTAGAAGGAAAATAAATTTGATTGAATCAAAGCTGTGGGATTAACGAGATTGGAAAATAGAGAATTGCAGACTGTGTAAATTTACAGTAGCTCGCGAAAATATTTGAACGCCTATCATAGCATATATAGTATGTTACATGAAACATTTTGAACGTTCAGTAACATAATAATAAAAAACCAATCTGATAACAATGATGGACAAGGAAAATTCGAAAAACGAATTTTACGGGAGGATCCATAATTTTATAAAATGAAATCATATTTAAAAGAGCAGTGTAATATAATCCTAAAATAGATGACTGTTATTAATCTTGATAAAAAAAAATGTGTAATATGAAAATGTAATGAAACGTATAATACGAAAGTATAATAAAATATGGACAAATAAAATTTATGCTATATATATAATAGAAGTTATAGGATTTTATCTAAGAACATTTAAAGATAATATCAAAACAAAAACACCCACATGAAATGTCCAATATGAAATACATAAATTATATACAATTAAATACTAATATAAAATGCATTGTATCACATGATACAATATGATTTCCTAATTAGCACACGTGAAATGAAGAATTTTAACGATAAAAGTGTTCAAGAACATGAAACCCTGTAATTTTTAATTATCTCGTCTCACTTTAATTTTAATTGTTTTAATGATTTAATTTTACGTTTTTAATAAAATAAATCAAAAATAAAATAAATAAATATTGTCGTTCATAATCTCACGCAATTACTCTATATTTTGAATAAAGTTGATATAACACTCTACGATATTTTTAATCTTCACATTTCCAATAAAAAAGACACGTGTCGAGTCACGTGCTACCGAAAATAAAAGAACCAAGAGATGTTCCCGGATCATCACGGGTGCTGGAAAGGCTGCTAACGTTTTCGAGCAGGTTAGTATTACGGTAGAAATGTATGCACGAGCTCTGAAAATAGCTAGAACGATACCGACCACATCACTACGCAGTCGATGGAAATGGAAACGTGTGTTTATCCTCTTCGCCATAACCGATGTGTCGAATGAAATCGTCAATGGTGTTTCCTGAGAAAACAACGAACTGCGTTGAACCAAGACTGCTTGGTTCTGTTATCGACACCAATTGATCATGCTAGCGCTCCAATGACGTGTTCCTTCTTTCTGTACGTAATGGGGCTCGGTAGCACTTTTACAGCATCGTGACAGATCGTTTCGTTTGCTCCACTTTAATTGTAAGAACACGAATTGTAATAAGAGATTTTTCTCATTAATCAATATTAATATTGAGGCCACGTGTTTTAGATTA